ATCACCACTACAAACTAGGTTAACTGTAAAAATTTTAGAAACAAAGTGCAAAAGCTTTCATCCCAAGAGTCTAGACTGGATCTGAACTTAGATCCCCAACATACAAGGACAGTGTTATAACCCAATTATTATTTTATTCTTTTGTTTTCCTTTCCCAGGTACTGTCTGTTTGATGTTCCCCTGGAGGATAGAATTTGGAATAATTGGTCTGGAACTGAAGACAATTGTTGGACTGACACAGTTTTATTTTTGGAATGTGGGTGAGGGGGAGTAGGGAAGAAAGTCTTGATCATCCAATAGAAGTTGACAAGGAGATGTATAGTTGATCCTTCAAATTCAAGGCTATTGTCAAGTAGAAGCAGTTTGGAAATATAAGTGAGTTATTAATAACCTTTCTTGAGTTTTGTTAATATGAGGCTATAGCCTGCTGTAAATTGTAATTGCTTTGCAATTCTTGATTGCTCCTAAATAAAAATTAAAAATGGTAAGTATCCTGATTAAGAATTGTTACAAATCCTTGATACACAGCTTTAACCGGCCTCAAACTATATTATTTGAAATACACCAACGAACAATAAATCTGCAGTTAAACTGTCACTTACATGAAACACTAGCTCTGGATATGCATCAATGAGAAAGTGACAAATCTTGTGGAAGTCACTTCCTGAAAGAGATCCCAAATAGACTGAGGTATTCTTTAAATTTATTCATAGGATTAGGTGACATTGACTGGGCCAGCATTTATTGCCTAGTTGAGAAGATGATGCAGGCTTTCTTTCTGATTCGCTGCAGTCCATGTGCTGTAGGTACATACAAAATACCATTATGGAGGGAGTTCCAGGATTTTGACTGAGCAGCAATGAAGGAATGGCTGATATCTTTCAGGGTCAGGACGGTCAGTGGTTTGGAGGGGAACTTGCTAATGGTGGTATATCCACATACTGCATCCTTTGTTTTTGTAGATGTTTGTAGTTGTGTGTTTGGATGGTGTTGTTTAAGAAGCCTTAGTGAATTTCTGCAGTGCATCTTTTTGATGGTACACACTTTTGCTACTGCGCATTGATGGTGGAGGGACTGAACGTTTGTGGATGTGGTGCCAGTCAAGCGGGCTGCTTTGTTCTGGGTGATATCAAGCCTCTTGAGTGTTTCTGAATATCATCTAAGCAAATGGGGAGTATTCCAGCACACTCCTAACTTTGTGCCTTGTAAATGGCAACAGGCTGTGGGGAGTCAAGAGATGAGTTAGTTGCTCAGCATTGAGAGTGTATGCCCAGGTCTTATAGCCACAGTATTCAAATGCTTAGTTCAGTTCAGTTTCTGATCAATGACAAGCCCCCAGGATATTGATAGTCGGAGATTTAGTAATGGAAATGTTATTGAATGCCAACGGATGATGGTTAGATTATTTTTGTCGAAGGTGATCATTTCCTGGCATTTGTATGGCGTGAAGGTTACTTGCCACTTATCAGGCAAGCCTGAATACTGTCTTGGTCTTGCTGCATTTGGGCATGGGCTACTTCAGTATCTGAGGAACCATAAATGGTGCCAAACATTGTGTAATCATCAGTGAACATCCCCACTTCTGACATCATGATGGAAGGAAGGTCATTGATGAAGCACTGAGCAAGTTATGCTAAACTAGTGCTGCATAACACCTGCCTTCACTCTACTTATGATGGAGAGTAGACTGATTTGATAATTAATGGCTGGGTTGGATTTGTCCTGCTTTTGTGTATAGGACATACATTGGCAATTTTCCACATTGTTGGGTAGATGCCAGTGTTGTAGCTGTACTGGAAAAGCTTGGCTAAGAGCACAGCTTGTTTTGGAGCACACATCTTCAGTACTATTGCCAGAGTGTTGTTAGGGTCCCTAGGCTTTGCAGTATTCGGTGTTTCAACAGTTGAGAGCATTCAAGTGGAATAAATTGAATTGGCTGAAAACTGACACCTGTGATGCGGGGGATCAGGAGAGGAGGCCAAGGTAATTCTTCACCATGGTATAACTGCACTTGGAATATTGTGTGCAGTTTTGGTCTCTTTATCTGAGGAAGGATGTTGTGGCTATGGAGGAAGTTCAAGGAAGGTTTACCAGACCATACCATTCCTGGGATGGAATGACTGATGTATGAAGAGAGATTGGATTGACCAGGAACATATTCACTGGGGCTTAGAAGAATGAGGGGTGATCCCATTGAAACCTATAAAATTCTAACAGCACTAGACAGTGTAAATGCAGGATAGAATGAATGGGGAGTCCAGAAACAGGAGTCACAGTCTAAGGATGTGGGATAAGCTGTTTAGTACTGAGACGAGGAGGGATTTCTTCGACAAGAGAGTGGTGAGCCTGTGGTATTTTCTGCTACAGAAAGTGGTTGAGGCCAAAACATTGAATATTTTCAAGAAAGAGTTAGATAGAGTCATAAGATCTAAAGAGATCAAAGGGTTTGATGAGAAAGTGGGATCAGAGGTGGATGATCAACCATGAACATATTGAATGGCACAGCAGGCTTGAGGGGCTGAATGGCCTACGCCTCCTATTTTCTATGTCTCTCTAATTCAGTCGACATTTCTGGCTGAAGACTGGTGCAAAGGTGAAGGCTGTGGCATTTACAACAACATGCTGGTCTCCCCCATCATGGCTGATGGGAATATTTGTTGAATCTTATCCAGTGAGTTGTTAATTGTCCACCACTATTCACAATTGATGCGGCAAGACTGCAGAGCTTCATTCTGATCCATTCAATGTCAAATTGCTTTGGCTTGCCCATCACTTGCTGCTTTTAGTGTTTGGCACACAATTAGTCACGTGTTATAGCATCAACAGGTTCACATTTCATTTTAGGTACTCCTGGTGATGCTCCTAATAAGCTCTCCCACCCTCTTCATCGAACCAAGGTTGATCCCCTGCCCTGATTGTAATGGTAGAATTGGGGATATACTGGTCCATGAGGTTGCATATTGTGTTTGAGTACAATTCTGCTGTTGCTGATGGTCCACAGTGCCTCATGCACACCCTGTCTCGGTTTCTAGATCTTTTGAAGGTTATCCCTATGAATATGGGTGATAGTGCCACACAACACAATGGAGGATATTCTCAGTGTGAATCAGGACTTTGTCTCCATAAGAGCTGCGCGGTAGCCACTCTATTTAAAAATAATTTCATGGACAGATGCATCTGTGGCAGGCAGATAGGTAAGAATCAAGTCAAGTACATTTTTCACTCCTGTTGGTTTCCTCATGACTGTGTCTGTGACAGTTGAGTCAGCTGGATCAGCTGTGATACTGCTGAGACTCTTGGTGATGGATGATGAAATTCCCCACCCAGAGTACATTCTAAACCCTTGCCATTCTCAGTGCTTCCTCCAACTAGTGTTCAACATCAGTTGGATGTTTCATGGGGGAGAGGGGTTCTGTGGTAATCAGCAGCTGGTTCTCCAGCCAATTTGGTTCTCCAGTTTGATCTCATGTGATCCTGAGTTGAAGAATTAAAACTATCAGAACAACTCCACCCCAGGTTTTGCAGCCACCTGTACTGGCTGTATCCTGCCAGTGGGACAGGACGTATGTTGATGGTGCTGTTTGGGACATTGCCTATCGGCAATGATTCTGTGAGTATGGAGGTTTGCCGAACATCTCCGCTGTATTCATAAAAATAACATCGAGCTTCTAGTTGCCTGCCACTTCAACACGCCATTGGCCAGATAACATAACATTTCCGTCTCAGGCCTGCTGCAGTGCTCCAGTGAAACTCAATGCAACCTGGTGAAACAACACCTCATCTTCTGCCAATGTACCTTACAGCTCGCAGGATGCAGCATCGAGTTTAATAGTTTCAGAATATGAATATCTCCTTTCATCTTTATTCCTCACCCTCATGCTCCCAGGTCCTATTTTGTTTGAGGTGCTCCCAGTACATTTTCAGTTATTCACACTTCCTGTTAGCACCCATTCAGCATCTACTTCTGTCTCAGCTTACTGTTAGCAATCCCTTTGTTCTTTCCCTTTCTCTTTTCTTTCTCTATCGCCATCCATCCACCTCACTCATTCTCCGCCCCCAAACCCCACCCCCTGTCATCCGCATAAATACTACCTTTTCGCAGCTGCTTTCAGTTCTGATGGACTCAAAATGTTAACTCTGTTTCTATCTCTACAGATGCTGCCAGATCTGCTGAGTTTCTCTAGCACCTTGTTTTTCTATCCTCAGGGTATTACCTGGGTCTTCAGTTAATAATTCATCATCACTGCCAAAGACAATTTCCAACAGGAAAAATGAGGCTCATTTACATTTGCACCTACCACAAGGGTCCATTCTTGAAAGTACCCAGCTATTTCCCGAGATCGCCTAAAAACTTTATGTTTCATTTTGTTGCGATTAATAAAATGGATGTTTCCCTTGCCAAGCAGGAAAGGTAGCGACTGGGGACTAGCAACTGAATCCAATCACACTTGTGTAGTGCTCCTTTGCCTTGACATCAATAAGGTACCTCTTACAGTATAACTTCAAACTGCCACAGTTACCAGTCTCTGTTGGTAACATTTAAGCCTAGTTAATAATGCACTGAAAAAATGTCCTTACCTAATCTGTGATAATCACAATCGCAAGCTCAAATGTGTGTATTTGTCCCAGTTTTAGTGCATGGAGGTTTAGATCTTCACTCATCTTGCTCCAAGTCCATGGCTAGTTTATTAGAAGCCATGAGATCTATAAATCCATATGATATAGGTGCAGAAATAGACCATTCAGCCCATCAGGTCTGCTTTGCTATTTAATGAGACCGTGGCTGGTACGATAATCCTCAACTCCACTTTCCTGCCTTTTCCCTTGATTCCCTAACCAATTAAAAATCTGTCTATCTCAGCCTTCAACTGCAACTTTGTATTCACTACTAACTGAGACACTGTAGCAAATGTTTTAGCCAAAATTTGTTAAGTCAACATAGTGACAGAAATCACAAAACACACATCAAGGTCTCAGTTTGGGGATGAAGCTCTGCTCACCGTGATTGCCTTTGGATGTTCGCACTGGTGTAAAATGGTTTTTGGAGGTTCTAACAGGCGAGTTTTCCTTGGGCGATCCATCTATTGCAGTCATATTCTCTCTCTCATAGTGTGGCACTGGAATCGGCCCCTGGTTTCGTAAAATGTCTGCCAAGGCCCTGTGAAATGTAACATAAAATAATGTTTGAAAGATGGTACAGTGTCTTTATATGACTCACAATTCATGTTGTCGTGCTACACGGTTTCCCAGAAAGAATTGCTGAGATTGCTATTTGGTTGAAAGTCGGTACTAATGCTGTGAAACACCATTTGTATGATTTGTACAGACAATCGAAAACATCATATTACTGCATCATTGATGGGTATAATTCATTAAAAATATTATGTTCATTTTCACTAACATGTATCTGGATGGTACTTACAAACTCTAATGCAGCAACGGTAATAAATAGTGATTAACTTGAAGATGTGGCTTTGTAAATGTTAATTTTGTTAAGTATGCAGTTACGGATACAACGATACACAGAGTGCAATATGGATTATATAATGCAAATTTCAACCAGTGGTGAATGTTTGTGTGTGGCATGCAGATTAACAAAGGCTCCTCAAAAAATGTGTTCCTTAAATCAGGCCTATCAAGTCCCTTTTAGCCTCTTTAACCATACTGAACTTGGGAACATGGCAAAGGTTGATACCACTTCTGAGGATTTTTATATACAACTAATCTTTTTGCAACTGTAAGAAACTACTCTTTACCAGTTCTGCAACTTTAAAGAATTGACAATTTCAAGTCTTTAAGTTCTGAAAGTGGGGTGATGGAAAATTAAAAGATGTTAGTATGAGGGTGAGGCAGAGGGTTTGCAGTCAGTAAAAGTAAGATTACAGGGATTATAAGAAATGGAAAGGGAGAGAAGAATGTGGTGAGGAAATGAACATACTACTTTTGACCGCGAGGCTCACAATTCTGTATAACCATATGCAGACAATTGCTCTTCTCATCTACCCAGTTCACAGCTTTGAAAGCTTGCACGATGTATTAGCATTTATAGCCTATGTCTAACAGAGATTAGAGGAGATTAATATTCCATTGATATTTAGTTGCATACTATTCCCCTCTTAGCCCCCAGGTGTTTCATTTGGTTGGGTCGGTGACTGCATACTTCCTTCCTTTGCTCTTTTGTTTACTCATACTGTGACACAGTTAAGCACTACTTTGTGTCAAAGAAATGTCAGTTTGTGTACATCTTTGCCTTCATTATCACCTCGTGTACCAATTTACCAATTTGAGATGCTTTTCATCTGTTTTTGTCTGTCTGCTTACCATCATTCCTCTGTTTCAATTGGCTTTTATAGTCAATGAATTAATTCTTTCTATCACTATTGCTTTAAGACCTCTGGTGACTATATATATTTGGATTCCAAGTTCTCAAATGCGCTTAAGACTTTCTACTGAATTAAAAGAAAATAGAATATTTCAACACTCAGTATGTTTGCTTTTTATTCCAGCAGTTCAACAGCAGGGGATACCTCAAATTTTGACAGGACTAACAGTTCTGAAAGCTTATATCTCGATGTTGTTGGTTCAAAAGACTTTAAGATAAGTAATGTGAAGATTTTTTGTCCAGTCAACTAATACAAAAATGGACTTTTATATGGATTGAGAAAAACGTATAAGGTTATCAATAAACATTTATTACCTGTGATTTAAAAAAAAGTTCCACACAACTTTGATTTTGTTGAGAAATTTGAACAAAATGTTCTATGCCACACTGTGCCACTGCTCTTTCTTGTGTTAGATCTTTACTACCTTGTACTAGCAGATTCTGGTGCATAAACATGGGTTAAATTTCCTACCTAATTTACAACTTGTTTCAGACCCAATCACACTCTCCTTCTAGACTCATTCATTTTGTTATTGATGTAATACTCTTCAACAGTCATTGTGCTTTTGCTCTCTGGCTGAACTGTTTTCATCTTTCTAGTAAATGAGTCGATCTCAGCTTGTATATTGACTTGTCCTCTTGCAATTCACCTTTTCCCTTACAGGGCTTTCCATTGTCATTTGTCTGATTGCAACCTGCCAGATACATATTCTCTGGACTGTGTTTTTTCCATTTTAACTGTGCAAAAAGAACACAGCTCATTCCACCTCAATTACATGTGAATAGATAATAATTCTAAGTTGCTATACCTTTTATCTCTTCCATCTTTTCCTATCAAAGGGCATCGGTGCATTTCATGATTCTGACAGTAACAGCTTTTTTCTTTATTCCCTCCTAGTTCTGGTTATATGTTACTGTGCTTGTTTCCAGACACAGGTCTCCCATTCTCAGCAGTAAACTATAGTTCAGTCACACAGGCATTTGACTTGCATAGTTTAACAAGATAATATTCTCAAATTAGTATTATTCCTCATCATTGACATCTTTATGTACCTCTCTATGCTTTCAATTTATTGACCGGGTGAGCAGACAACATCTGATCATCATTGAGAATATACTCAAGAAATTCCCACTGGACACTGATCCAATATATTCACCACATTTTTCTTGGCTTGTCGTTCAATCTTGAAGTAAAATTGTCTCCTCTAGATTGTTACATTCATCCCAATTACATTATTGCCTTTACTCAGACCAACTTGTCAAAGTGTTTATACCTTTCCCAAACTTGCCTCTGACCCTCCCATTTTCCATAAGTAGTATTTATCCAAAACAAAAGGAGAGAAAACTCTTTCACATCTTCTGTTAAAATGGTCAAAATAATTTTTTTGTCATCCTCTTCAAATGATAGACAATTCCTTCTATGTTCTCAATACTTGTTAGCTCCTTCCTATTACTTGGTAGGATCTCTCATTGACATATGCTGTCACATGAAAGGAGTTATAATCTAGTCTTCCTGACTTTTCTAACTTGCTTCCACATATCAGTGTTTCCTCTGTTCATTGGCACATGTTCGACTTTAACAGAATGATAAACGGTATTTCTACTGCTTGCTGTCTGCTTTTCCCAGGGTTCTGGGAAAAGCAAGGTGGCTCAGTGGTTAGCACTGCTGCCTTACAGTGCCAGAGATCCAGGTTCGGGTGACTTGTCTGTGTGGAATTAGCACATTCTCTACATGTCTGCATGGGTTTCGTCCGAGTGCTCTGGTTTCCTCCCACAGTCCAGTGATGTGCAAGTTAGGTGGATCAGCCATGCTGAATTGCCCATAGTGTCTAAGGATGTATAGTTTAGGTGGATTACCCATGGGAATGCAAGTTTACAGGGATGGGGTTGGTCTGGGTGGGATGCTCTTCAGAGCCTCAGTATAGACTCAATGAGCCAAATGGTCTGCTTCCACACTGTAGGAATTCCATGATTCTAGGTATTCTCTTATGATTTTAACAGTAGTGATCATTAGATTAACTAAGACTAATAGAGAAATTGACTTATTTAATAACTTTTGAGTTTGAAGAAAGATTTTTTTCCTTTAATACAATAACGCACTGTTCTTCTCAACATGTGCTCCCAGGCAGAAGTTTACAGTTCATCCCATTTTATTATTCAGTATTGTCTTTTCAGTCCTTTGCTTCCTGAAGTAGAATTCTTCAAACCCAGCTACCAGTCATCAGACATACAAGTCTAAACCTCCTTATGCTTTCAGTTTACTTGTTTTCCCTCTCTTAACTTTGGCCATGAGTTAAAAGATTTTCTAAGATCCATTGTACTGTGAATGGATGAGGGCTCTAGTATTCTTAGAACCACTTTCTTTTGCAAGGTCTCATTCTGTCTTGAACAATTTATGATAAAAGTGGACACTTACCTAATTTCTATATTCATTCTTTATGTGTTGCTGAGTGGCATCTGTTCTGTCTCAAAGTCACTTACAAGTTGTAATCTAGCTATTAGCTCCTATTAATTTGACTGTTACCCTGAAGCATCCATCAGAATAGTCTAAAATAAATAGAATCTAAAATAAACAGAATAATGTAAAATGCATTAAAATAAACTAAATCTTTACTTTTATCCACTCGTGGGACGTGGCTATCACTGGCTGGCCAGCAATTATTGCCAGTCCCTGGTTGCCCTTCAGAAGGTAGTGGTGAGCTGCCTTCTCGTAGCTCCTCTTGCTGTCAGTATTTCATCTCCTCCATATCCGTTCCTCTAACATACTGGCAAATCTCAAAAATGCCTGAATTACCTCATTATTTGCACTTTGTGGCAGAATTAATTGTTGGTGAAGTCAAATGAATTTTGGTCCCACCTGTCCAGGCTTTAGCCATGTTTCATAAAAACCAAAAGAACTGCGGATGCTGTAAATCAGGAACAAAAACAAAGTTGCTGGAAAAGCTCAGCAGGTCTGGCAGCATCTGTGAAGGAAAAGAAGGTTCTGCGGAAGGGTCACTGGACCCGAAATGTTAACTCTGATCTTTTCTTCACAAATGCTGCCAGACCTGCTGAGCTTTTCCAGCAACTTCTGTTTTTGTTCCGTGTTTTAGCAATGTTTGAAATTGCTTCTGATATAATGGTGACTCGCAATTATATTTGAACTTTCAAAAATTAAAATCCCTCCTGCCTAACCCCTCGCACTCTTTCTTCGTAAGTTCATTTCTTCCAGCTCATTCTTGGATGTTTACATGATCAAAAGACCAATCCCTTTCAAAAAAAAATAAGAATGTAGAGTTTTCCATTTCTCTTTCTTGTCACATTATAATGGCAAATATTCAGCATAGTAAACAAATGCTTTTAATCTCAAAATTTGAGGAGATTACATTATAATATTCCTTTACACAAAAAAAGCTGATTGTTAGGAAAAGCAACAAAGGTCACAGAACTTTATCTAGATATGTTGAAAAACGACTAGTTCTAACTGCTGAGAAGTTTTCTCAGGACAGACCCTGAGAGGTTTGAAAATGTATAGGAGAATGGAACAGCGACTTTGAGCTACTAGTGTGTAGTCATTGCAAAGCTTAAAGGCACTCTGCCAATTTGAAAGGGAATACCAAACAACTTAAAGAAGGAAGTGCCAAGTGGATGGTTTATCTCAGCCTCCGCCCAAGGTCCCCACCATCACAGATCCAATTCGATTTGTTCCATTTTATATCAATAAATTCAATGTAGCCAATTAACACCAATAAAGCTTACTCTCAATCATTTAAAAAATAGCAATAACCTGCTGACTG